ATGATGTTATGGATGCCATAAGGGTAAGTCTTAAGCTTACTTAAGTATATTATGATTCATTTAATCTTATTTATTATTGCTAAAACAAAACAAAMGAAAATGCATTTTTACATGATATAAAGGAAATATTTTTAATGTGCACCTGTATAACTAAATATTAATGCATGTTATGTACTTAAATTAAATTCGAATTATATAAACTTTCACAAAAGGAGGAATCAAAGGGTTGTGCAAGAAGGTTGGGATACAGGATGATGTGGCAGAGGTTACGCCGTAAAGGAATTTATGTGAAAAGGTAGGAACAATTTTTTTAATGGGTATCTGTGTTGCGAKGAGTAACACAGTCTTTAAAAAAACTCTTGAGTATTTCTTTAATTATTATTGATCACTTTCAGATGAAGCTGATTTGTAAAACAAACAGCAACACTAAAAAAGTAAAATAGACAAGCAATATGTTGCGCTCTTTTTTTCTAAAGGGATCAAGTGGCTATGTGCATGAAGGTACTTGGCTTAGAAAATGCCCCTCCTTTGAAGAAGAGAAAGCATCAACATTGTTATATAAGCAAGGTATGAAAATGTAATATAAATTATTCTGCATTTACATCAAGAACCTATGATAGTATAAATCAAGTTGTCTTGAAGCATTGTTATAGTCAGCACTGAATTATATCATCTTGCTTTGCTACAAAACTGAAATTATATCATCTTGCTTTGCTACAAAACTGAACTGGAGAGTCTCTGCATACTAAAAGGCTCTTTTTGTTATAAAAGCCGAAGACACCAATTATATAATAGTACCTGTTAACAAGTTAATTCCTTTTTTAAGGGGCCAAATAGTACTTGGCACATAGATGGGAATGATAAASTGAGCCATTGGGGATTTTTCGTGCATGGTGCGGTAGATGGATACAGTAGGAAAATCTTGTGGATGAACATCTTTGTTACAAATAAGKATCCATGGCTAATTGGAAAGTTTTTCATGGACACTGTAGAGAGCCTTGATGGTCAGTTCTGTAGCCTCTTTTTCTTGATAAATAAGAGCTACATTGTATTGTATAATGATGATACAAAACAATTTTGTTTCAGTCTGTCCTTGTAGAGTCCAAGGTGACCGAGGGAATGAAAATCCAATTGCTGGAAAATGCCAGATGTTTCTTAGAAGAAATCACACTGATTTACAAGCAGGCGAAAAGAGCTATTTCACAAGCTCTTCATCTCATCTAAACCAGGTTAATAAACATCAATATTCATCTGGAGTGTGCATATTTTGTTACAGAAAAAATAATAATAAT